CGGGTAAGAGGTGGTCGGTGAGGTTAGCCAAAAGTGGTGCATGCCAACAGGCTTTGGCGTTATCATGGTCCAGGACATTTCACTTGGGACAAAGTGGAAAACAGAACAAATGATGCTGCTGAAGACGTGCCACCTGAAGAAGCCACCATCGAAGAAGAAACTCTACTCAGTTTTGAGAAGGGAAATGGTGTAGCTCTTGGTGAAGTTACTGCCACTGATGTGACTGTTATCGATGATGGGACATTTACTGATGAAGCAGATGAACTCCACATGAAGCAGAAGTTAATGAGACGGAGACCAGTACGGAAGAAGATACGTCCCGTAAAATTAAGAGACTTTGTTGAATTGTAATTTTGTGTTTGTAATTCTGTACAGTTAATTAAGTTATTGTTAATTGTTATTGGTTTATCATATGTGGTTATTGTTCGGGACGAACAATATTAAGGAGGGGCAGTGTTGCTTCAGCGAGTCACATGACTACTGTGACGCCTCGTTCTAGAACTATCCTGTACTTTGGCGAATGCTCTAGTATTTACTAGATAGGGTAGGCTGGTATATATAAGAGGGGAACAACGTGACGCGGGAATGTAATGTGTGTGTAGATAGTGAGTAATTGAACTGCAGTCAGAAGTATTATTGACGTTCGTTGTTATGGCGTTTGTTTAGCGCGATTGTTGAAGTTGAGTGTATCGGTAAAGTTATATTCGGAAAGAATAAACCAGTTTTATTAAGTAAAGTCTTGTCTCGTTAAAATTCTGTCGGAACGAAGTTACGGAAAAATCAATTAACAAACAGAGACGTAACAATAGCTTCAAATTAGCAATAATATGGTATTATTAAATTACAGTTATAAATCTATAATAATGAAACTAATGATTAACTTGTAATCAAAAATTAATAGAGAAAAGACTTAGAGAAATACTTTGTAGAGCTTCTATGGATCACAATACTTACCTATGAACAAGAATAAACAATATTTTTTAACATTTCTTCAAATTATGTTTTGGATTTCATCAAGTGAGCAAACATAGAGAGAGCAAAGTTGTTGAATAAAGTTTTTTATTTTACTTTCAGTCATAGATAGATGTAGAATAGACAATGGAGGTTGTGCACACTATTGTAATAATGTAGATGGTAGGAGCATCTGTAGCTGTCAGGAGGGTTACAGACTTGGAAGAGACACACGAAGCTGTGAGAGTAAGTACAGTTTGTACAGGTGTAAATATTAGAACTGTCTAACTGTTGGAGAAGAGATAGGTTTGAAAGAAGAGACAAGGGAAAGTGTGAGAGTAAATAAAGTTAATATATATTTGTAGTTGGTAGAACTGTCTAACATTTAGAAGAAGGATAAATAAGTTTGAAGGAGACAAGGGACACTGTGAGGATAAGATCTGAAAGAGAAAAAGTCATAATTAAACATAGGGTTTGTAGTTTTTGTCAATGTACTTGAGGATCAGTAAATTTGTATTTAATATCATTTTAATTCTTTTATAATTTAAGTCTCGATTCTAAGCTTAGCTCTTTCTTACTTTAATAGATATTTTTTGAAGATGGGAAACGGGGATTTGACACCTAATTTTGGAATATTTTTGAGTTATTTAGAAAATACTGCTTTAATAATGCAAAGTTGCACTACTTATATAACAGTTTTACCTTAAGGTATGGACAACAAGGGACTATTTGGTCAAGGCTATCCTTACACACCTTTTATTTTTCAGAAAGCCATAGATTCTCTTATTAAACTCTCAAAATGCTGGTCTCTACCAATACTGATAGTCATTAGTGATTCACATTCACCTTACAAGAAAAATAACTCTGACCTAAGAGTTTCTCTTTAAGAATTTTGACTGCTTGAAAAACGTACAGTACTTTATATACATTTTCTCTATATTACAAAATTAAGTTTGAATTTACTTTCAGTTGGGTATTTTCTTGTGAAGGTGTAAGTTGATTTCTAAGTAACTTTTCTAATCATTGTTCTTCTTCTTCAGCTGTCTACTTCACACTTATTAACTTCTGTGAAATTCATTTGTAAACCTTCTTCATGTTGAAGTTATCCAGAGGAAGTGCTTTAGTTTTAGAAATTATATGTCATTATAATAAGACCACTGAAATTAAATTTAATTGCAATTTACACATATTGTTTCAACGTTTATGTGATTTTCAGCCATTACATTTAACTTAATAGTGTGAAGCCCATCAGCTAACAGCTTGAGCTCATTTTTAGGTGGCCATGTGTAGCCTAGTGATTAATGTGCCAAACTGTGAATCTGAGGGTCAATGGTTTGTGTTCTATTAATTTTAAAATTTGTTCTGCATGTTTAGAGATTTGGGTTAGAGTCAAATCTCACTATTTGACTTGAGTAGTCCAAGAGTTGACTAGCTGCCTTCTCTCTTGCTTGTCAGTTTCAGAGAGAGTTAGTACAGATGTCTTTATGTAGCTTTGTACAAAGTTTCTAAGACATACAAACCAACAAATCAGTTCAGGGACCAAGTACCAGTATATCATTGACATTGATGGTACAATTAAGACAGAATAAAAAAATTTTAAGATATATTTTTCTAAAAATGATAATATTTATTTTAAAATATAGATGTTTGTTTGTTGGTTTTTGAATTTTATGCAAAGCTACAAGAGGGCTATCTCCGTTAGACGTCCCTAATTTAGTGGTGTAAGACTAGAGGGAAGGCAGCTAGTCATCACTACCCACCACCAACTCTTGGTATACTCTTTTACCAACAAATAGAGGGATTGACCGTCACATTATAGCTCCCCATGGTTGAAAGGGGGGGCATGTTTAGTGGGATGGGGATTCGAACCCGCGACCCACAGATTGCAAGTCAAGCTCCC